TTGGTGATCCAAGATAGAGATGAATATCGGGGTCCAGTAGCATAGGTAGAAATTGGTCAAAGTTGTGCTATAGAAAGTGTAAGGGTCAAGTGAAGTGCTTTGAGTGTCACGAAAAGGATCTCATGGAGAGAGATTGTCCAAAATTGAGAAACATATGCGATAGGTACGATGGCACAAGCAATTGGCAAATGTTGCCGCAGAAAGCACCAATGATGCAAACTGTTCCCACCAAAACAATTGGTCCTTAATCAGTTCTTTCGTAAATCAGAAAGTAACGATTTAATAAATTAGACTGAGCCCTTCTTCCCAAAAAACTAAAACTTGAATATTTGAAGAAATTTATTCTGTCGGTGTTATTTAATTCAATTAGGTACTTCTGATGTAAACAAGGAAAAATCAACTTATTTCTCCAATTGATTTCTTTTATACTTTATATGCGGAGAAAAATATTAGTGAACTTCAAGGAGTTGAAAATGTTGAAAGCTTCTTAGGATGGATAATTGTGTTGTATATTTTTTCTAGCTTTTTAATTTTCTTTTCTCCTAAATTTTTGTTTTTTTTAAATAAGGATGATTTCTGATTTGTTTGGAATGACATTTGCTTTTAATTTTTGACTTTTTCATATTTTGCAAGGTGCTTGTTTTGGCCTTTTTTTTTCATTATAAATCCTTAAATCCTTTAAAAGGTTTTAATTCACACACAAATTTTTCATCATATAATAAAACTTGTAAAGTACAAAAGTTACTTTTAACTTTTTAGAAGCCGTAAGGCATAAAATGATTTGACATTTGTTGGGAAAACTCTTTATACTGTTTTGAAGACAACAAAATAATGAAAAGCTTGTAATTTGTGCATTAATGGTATAGAATCAGATGATAGATGCATATGTCAATATGCATATGAAGTACTAATATGATTGTCTAAAAGTTTGGGCGTGCTCTCTCTCTCTACTTGTGGTGTATGTATGTGTCTAAAGTTAGATGGACCTTAGTAAATGGTGAACAAATTGTAGAATGAGGTTACTAGTGAAACTTAGAAGGAACAGTCCAAGGTGAACAGCTAAATTGAACCAAAAGGCATCAACATGCTTGGAAAAACCAAAGAGCATATGGTGAACAGCTAGTTCATAGTCAAGCAAAAAAAGACTGAAGGGACCGAGTACAAATTGCACCTGCTATCTAGGGGTGAGCATTAGTTCGGGGTTAACCCGGGACCGGTCCAACCCGAACAATCTTGGTCCAGTTCCAAAGGGACTAGGCCGGTCCCTGGTTCTGGGGTCGCAGGAATATGTATAGTGCATATTAGTCTTTGGTCTTGAGGCTTTAGTGTTGATCCGGGTTGAACCAACCCTATAGATATATATGTTTATGTTTTTTTCCAAACCATAGTATATAACTTAAAGTGCCTAGGGCCTCCTCTTTTTTTGCTATTTCCTCTCCCTCTCTCAGAATCTCGCTCTCACTCTCTCCCTCAATCTCAAATACTTCTCGACCTCTCGGCGGCTCTCTCTCTCTCTCTCTCTCTCTCTCTCTCTCTCTCTCTCTCTCTCTCTCTCTCTCTCTCTCTCTCTCTCTCTCTCTCTCTCTCTCTCTCTCTCTCTAGCCTTTAGCAACGATTCTCTCCTTGCTCGTTCATTCTTCGCCATTGCCAATCATAAAAAAACGAAGAATCCAAAATCTCATCATTTTAAATTGATCATTGTTCGCAGTCAACATCTACATCTTAAAAGTAAGTACCTCCATACTCGATTCTAAGACAAATAGAGGCCAAGGATAACTTGAATGACCACCTTCATTTTGCATCTTCGTCGACAATCACGGTAACAATTTCTTTTTGTCAATGTTAGTACTCGTTTAGTTATCCGAAGTCATGTGGTGTCTCTCTTTTATGCTAATTCTCCTGGTTTCCAACTTGGGTTTATGATTAGGGAACAAAATACTACAACTTGGAGAATCTGTCGTTTGGATGTGACTTCGGATTATTTTGTTTATTGCTAAAAATATGTAGGTCAATATGTTATGAAAGAAATGGACAATTGAATGTTTATCTATGGAAGTTTGTTATAGCTTTTTTATCTTTATTTGGCAATTACTAATTACATGCTAGTACTTAAATATTTGTGTGAACTTGATGAATCCATATAACATGTCAATTGAAGTGGTGGGATATAATGAGATGAGTCCAATGATGGAATCGCTAGGTGATGGAATACAAAAAATGGTATAAAAAAGAATCGGTTGGTTTTAGGTTGACTCGGGAACTGGACCAAACTAAGAAGGTCGTTCCAATCCTTGGTCCCAAGCTCAACATGGTCGATTCCCAGTCCCAAAAATTGGGGACTTACACTGTTTAGGTTAGTCCCTAGGTTAGGTGCTAAACCGGCCCAATCTGGAACATGCTCACTCCTACTACTATCAGACGGAGTAGAAGCATGGTTGAGTGCCTCAATGTTCCTTGATAAGAAGACCTAAATTTTCTTCTAATTTGATTTGAATTCAAATTAGTTTATAATAGGCATTTTCAAGGTCTGGATTTACACAAAGCAGCTTGGAGAAAAATAATAGCAGTAGTTCCTGTTTTATGCAAGCACTCAGAGAGTTAAACATACATAGAAATAGAAGTCTCTATTTTTGGAAATCTCCATTTTGTCTCAGAGTCAGCTAACTAATTGTGCAGTTTCTAGGCCAGAAATGTGTGTCCAATGGATCCTTTGACCCAGAGAAGACTTCCAGCAGTTAGGATGCAGTTGGAAAGATTATCTAAAGGGCTTAAGGATAACTAAAATGGTGGTGGAAATAGAAAATGCTACTCTCTCAGTCTTTAGATACTCTCGTGTTCTTAATTGTGAAATACTGTTTGTATTCTGATTTGTATACTTTGAAAGGGTTGTGAGTGTTGTAATATGGGAATAAAGAGTGTTTATAGTGATAGAGGTGCGTGTGCATTGTAGAATAGAAGAGTACCTTCTATGATTTTTAACTTTCTAAAAGTATTAGTGGATTTTATCCTGATTCGTGACTGTAAGTTTGGGAGAGTGGACTCGGTCAAAGGAATTGGCCGAACCGCTATACATTGTTTGAAAATCTCTCTATGCTTTCAACTCTTTCATTATATTGTAGATGAAAGCATTTGCGTTTGCCCAACTGTTTTCATTCTACAAAAATAATATTTTTTAATCTTCCACAATTTTTTTTTAATAAACCAAATTCATCCCCTCTTGATATCTGTGTTAACCTCTTCAACTTTAGATTTTTTTAATTTTATTTTAAGTTAAAAGTGTGTCATTTATTCGCGAAAACCCCCCAAGCTTTTTGAAAGAACTACAAAAATCAGCATTTAAGGTCGCTCAATTTTTTTTTTTTTGTAACTGTTATAGTAAAATATATTTTTTTTATCTTAATGATACATTCAAACATAGTTGATTAGAGAAAGATTTAAGCCCATCCAAATAGGTGCTTAATATTGATTAGTAGAGAAACAACCGAAACTCCATAAAGATCTATGTAATCTATACAAATATGTTACTTATAGGGTCTTCTCTAATTGTTGCATTTAAATTTGTCACCTTAGTCTATAGATTGCTAGAATGAATATCTTCTCATTACAAGAAAAAGTTTTTGTGCTTTCTCCATAGCTGTACCCTCCACTTAGACATGCATAGTATTATGTCTATCTATTAATGTTCATTTGGTAATTTGTGAGTTTATTATCATCACATGGATGTCCATGGTGGACATTTAGAGTACCCGACATCGATTTTGGGATATCCAAAAAACGTGCGCGAGAGAGCGAGCCCACACACACACACACACACACATATATATACACACACATCACTATAGGACAGACATAAGGTGATGGAAGAGTGGATCGATTTCATTAGTTAGTTGTGCTTCGCTTCTCCTCCAATGTGCAAGGTCTCCATATACATCTGAGTTTTGTTTACACCTTCCTTTTTGCTTACGATCTTTATTTTCACTCCACCTTTGAACGATCCAAAATCCAATCTTTTGTCCACTTTTATTGTATCAAATTAATCGAAACGAGGATGAAGATGCATACTATTACAGTTCCGATGGGCATTACGGCTCATCTTATTCTTACTATTCTCTATTCAAAGTTTTGCTAGGTATTGATTTTGTCCTTCTTTATATTAGAGTTAGAACATCAATATCATGTTCCTTCTATTGAGGAGTTTATCTATTCCTATTGTTTTTAGATGGTAAAAAATTGGTTGTTACTCTTACATATTTACATTTTTGGAAAGACCACCTATAAACAAATAGTTGAGTTATTTTCAATTTTACCTTGAGTAATAATTTGGCTCGAACTTCTTTTTGTCTTATAAAAAATCACCAACTTTCACTTGAATCCCAAATTTGGCCCAAACAATTTGAAAATTTCACACGATGGGGCCAGATTTGAGATTCGAATATAAATTGATGTTTTTCATTGAAACAAAAAAAAAGTTCGGTCTAGAATTGACACTTAAATTAAAATTGGTGCTTTCTTTTTTGGAATTAGCCCTTAAGAAAACACACTTGGTAAAATCACTTGATAACCCTTATCCTGCAGTCTATGTGAGAAACTTACAATGCTTTTCTCATATTCTCTTGTAAATGTTGGTGTAATCCACACATGTAGCAGGCATACATCTTAGTAAATATTGCATATTTTATGAAGGTAACAATAAGCATATGAGGATCTTGGCTTTGCAAGTTGCCCCTTCGACTAATAAAAGCTTGGATCCTTCAGACAACGGTGAAAGTCATTGAAAGAAACAATGCTGTACTTCACAACAACAACATGAAACTTGGGCCATTGTTGACCCAATTCAAAGCTCAAGAGTCATCTATACATTACCAGATTAACACTCCCCTCCTTCCTCCTCGCACTCGGGAAAGCGCCTTTGCGACTCGCTTCTTGATCGAAGTCTGTCCGATTAATTAGTGGCAGCGTGAGATTAATCGCCACTCTTGATGCGTCAGTTCTTCACCATTTGATCATATGGTGGCTTGATGCATTATGCTAACCGTCAAGGATCGATCCCTCTACACGATCCGGCAATTCAGCTCCAAGAGGATGATGGCGAGAGTATCCCATCAGTCGGACTCCATTTCGCGGAACGGAAGCGGCACCGCCTTCACTGCTCTGAAATTTCCCACGTTGTTCAAGTGTTCGTTCTCCAGTCTGCACGAGGGAAACAGCGAACGCAAGTTCGGAAGCCGAATTCAGTACCTTTCTTTCCATGAAAAGAGCGTAATAGTTCTTGAAGGCCACGTCGAAGAGAGATCGTTTACCTGTAAAAATTCCAATGACCACGTCGAATGACTTCCAGAGAAGCCAAGAAGAATTCCAGCAACCTCGACTCCACCGCTCCAGGGCGAAACCCTGTCACCGTCTCCACCCATGCAACCCTCAAAACTACATTCAAGGCCTGCAAATACATTTGCATTTTCTCCATTAGAAACTTTTAGAGAAAATGAACAGAGATACGCAATGCGGGTGCTTACAGCGAGGCCTCTTGACTTGATCAATTTCGTTATCCATGCCCTAATTGTTAAGGAGAAAAAGAAAACCCTAAGAGAGAGAGAGAGAGAGAGAGAGAGAGAGAGTGGCTTACGATGGAGATGTAATAGATGCTCTTACGCTTGAGAACCAACTCGTCTCTCAACCACGGGTTTCTCGATTTGGGGTTGAGAAACCCCCAATCCCTAACAAAATCCCAGTACAGCTGATACATGGTGGCGATGACGGAGGTCACCAGGACGACACCGAACCACAGGTGGTCGGGTTGCCTCGCGTACGTGATCCTTGCCCCGGCTGCCACCATTGCCGACATGTACTTCCCCATGTTGGCCAGATGGATCGTGTCACAGTCGTCGAACCACCTCCTGGCGCACTGTTCAAAGGAAGCGATCAGAAGGGTTGCCACAGAAGTTGCAACATACAGATCTTAGTTAGCTAACTTAAAAGGATCTAAAATATTGATTACCTGCATGGCACGCCAGTAATAAGGCAAGAACGAAATGACGTACGCAAGTTCTCTGTAAAGCCTTCCCGATTTGCATGTTTCGAACTGGTGCGTCTTGAAACTTCCGGCCAAGAAGTAGCAAGCCGTGGACTCCATGTGCCTCAACAATGGTATCTGCAACCAGTAAGAAGATGATTCAGATGATGAATCTGCATATTTCGCATCATTCGGTCGGCTAAATATAGAATCGTTCGCGATGATCAATTCTTGAAATTGTTACCTGGCTAGTGAGTTGATCAGCCATAAAAAAGTCAACCATCAGAACCTGCACTCAACGAGTTGGGAAACTCATTTAGACATTGTCAAAGTAGATTATAGTGCAGCCATGAGGCGGTGTTGTCGCTCAAATTCTTCATTTTTGGCTAATTGAACCCCATTTAACATAACTTCCAAGTGTGAAAGAAGTAAAAAACTTTAATAACAAAAGAGGCCAATACATTATGTACCTTATAAAATGGAGAGAAAACTATGTTGCGCATAATGCGAATGAAGCAAAACCGAGTCGAGCGGTAGAATATGTCAATCGGGCAAACCAGCACGGCGAAGGAAATCTGTAAACATTTGCATAAAACGCATAAGATCACTAATGGCCACTATATAGCTAGTTACCTAATCCTCACAACACGAAATTAGTATAGCACAAGATTTATTAACCTAACTGATTTTCTAGAGGGGAAATAAATTATGGGCATTGAGAGTAAGAAGCCGAATGCTAACCAGAAGCAGGACTCCCGGTATGGCGTCGACTTGGCTAGGCGAGAAGCCATTGGCCCGCAGGAGGAGGTGGAGGATCATGGCGCCGACCACGGTGGTCATGATGGTGGTGCACATGAGGAAGGCGTCGCGGTACTTGAGGGCGGTGCTCGACGAGAACTCGAATATGAAGTTGTGGTTGATCCTCGTGCCCTTCCACAGGAACAGGTTGCACCCGTACATGAACAGGTGCAAGCTCAACAATGTGAAGACACTGCCCCAAGAAAAGGGAACAAAAGAGCATGAGATCAATCGTATTAAGACAAATTAGCATTGTAATTACAGAAAATCGAAAGATCCAATACATTAAAATATTAATCACACCTGAAGACAGGGTAGACAGTTTCCATGTAGCCCATGTCCGTGCTGGGGTTGAAAATACCAGCTATGTGCGCCAAAATCGCGTATATGCTAAATAATGTCACAAATGAACCGGTGAACAAACCTGCAACCCCAAAAAGGTAAAATTAGTCAAATTTCAATTCAAATTGGCATGGCAAAAAAAAAAGCATACATTCATTTTACTTAAAAGGGTTAAAAGGGTTTGATTTACAAATTAGCATCGTGATATTAATATTTTTCTAATGGTGTATGATCGTAACAATATTAATTAATTCTTTACCAACAAAGAAGGTGATCATGTGAGACTCTTTGTTATGCTGAGGCTTCAAGAACTTCATCGCCTTTTTCCTTTCGTTGTTGGCGAAGTGCTTTGTGAAGATGGACTCCACTTCGTCCATTAGCCTCACCACCTTAATTATCAAATCAAAGCACGTCATCTTCGTACAATTTTCCAAAAATCACCTTAATCGAAAGTCAAATTTAATAATACTAATCTCCACCCATTCGCGCATCTTGTCATAAATTCGATTTAGAATATGTACAGAATATAACAACATCATGGAAAGTCGAATGCACATACCTTGTCTGAACTTATGAAATGAGATTTCTTCACTTCTTTTAGATAACTTGTCGATGCCTGTCTCTTTGCCACCTGCTCATCCAAAAAGAAAAAACCTAAGCTTTAGTTTAATCTCCTTTCGAAATTTTTTTTTTCTGATTTTTATCATATAAATTATTTAAAAAAAGTGCTAACAAAAAATGTTTATTATCATCAATAAAAATATTTAGACAATTCTTATGCACTCATTTTGCAAAGCAGTAAACACGATTAAAATTAAGAAAATATTTCAGTCCCAAAAAGTTTTTAGCTCGGGCCTTACCTTGTCGAATTTCTTGAGTATCTTCGTAAAAGCCATCATATTCAAGGAGCTGCCAAAAATAGCAAATTTATATCAGGCCTTGTGCCCATAACATATTCAAAACAATTAAATGGAGTCCTACACATACATACGTAGATACATACATATATATATATATATATATATATATATATATATATATATATATATAAATGCAACATTCTCCAATTGGGCAAGCTATCTTGTGATAGCCTTGTTAATATTAATTAAAAACAAATTAATTCTTGGCGCTATAAGTTATATTTTTTGGAGGAATGCCAAGGATACCAATACTAATTGCAGAGTTATTAATTAATCAACTAAATATTATGACAGATAAATAAGTTGACATTTAATTAATTTATATCCTGTTCAAATTTTATTTATAGGATTCTGTCGTGGTATTCCGCAAAATGATCTTAGTACAGCTATAGTGTTACCTGTAAGTTTTCAGCAGACCAAGGCCTTTGTACAGCTCCACAAAAGCTCCCCTAATCATCTTCTCAGCGTACTGTACCTTCTTCCTGTTGATGAAATCCGCCGGCCCATCTTTCCTTGGGTTGTTCACTAGGTCCTCCCACAGCATCGACGTCACGGCGGTTATCATCCGGGTCGGCGTCGTGGCCGGGATGTCGATCCTCATCGTCATCTTCGGCTTCCCGTTGCTCTTCGTCTTCAACCTCGCCGCGGCCCCCACGAAACTCACCCCGTTCCTCTCGAACGCGGCAATCACGTCGTCCGTCTCTGAGGTCTCCGTGGGGGTCTCGAGCAACTCCGTTGGGGCCTCTGTGGCAAGATGACATACAAAAGATTTCGATTTACTAACATATAAATATTTTGCTTAGACATGTACATAGCATCTGTTTAGATCGCGAGCACCCTAACACTAATTGAGCCGATGAAACCTTTGATTAACTTAATAAATTGAGTCGATTTATCACCTTAACACTATGATTTAATGTTGAAGTTTCTATGGTCATTATCTTTTTGGTCACAAAGCTAAAGTATTGAGTTGATTGATGATATGTTATTTTCCACATTGCTGGGTCACTTTCCGAACAAAGAGTAAGATGAAAAAGCCCATCACCTGTTGGGTTTTTAGTGTATGGTTTGGTCACGCAACTGGGTATATAAGATTAAACGCTGAAGTCAGCATAGCACTTGGAATTCTGAGAGAGTGTTTGCATGCACTCGGTACATGTAAGTTCGCTTCATCTCGATCATTAAATCATGTGAAGCTCATGTGGACTTATAATATTTAATAATGGAGATGAAGCGGGCCTATATGCTTCAGATTTTTTGCCGAAATTCGACGATGTACATTTGCTGACAGTTCCTTTTCTGATGAATCGTTCGGACCTATCTCTTTAATCATAGCTGTCAAACTTTGGCGTAGAAAAAAAGGTCAAAGGTGTCAAACCATGTTCAGATATATAAACATTGCATGTGGAGGATCTCAAATTCATCTAAATCGTTGAATTTAGGGTATCCCTATCAACGTGATGGACCTTGAGTGTATCCCATTAAAATTTAATAATTAAAAATGTTCCTGGAAAAGAAATTTCGCGATTTGTGATGATAATTAATAGGGTTTTGAAAATCATATATCGCGTAAAGGGAATATTTTATGCCTTTGTCACCGTAAACTTATATTTAGTATTTCTCATGAAAAATTATCGGTCCAGATTTATCCCGACAACAATATCATATGATCACCATGACTAATACGTGAGATTTTTGGCTTTCTTGTCCTCATGAATTGCGAGTCATGAAGAGGAAAGCGATAAGCAAGTAATTTATGATTTGTAACTTAATTGCGATGTCCAAAGATAACTAAAATGCACGTCACATGTCAGCAACACAAAACCGTTTTTAGTTCAATTTTGACCATCCCTTTGCAGTTTCATCTGTGTTCAACACTATGTCCGACCATAATCATTCTTGCTGAGTTGGCTAGCCAATATCATGAATTTCTACGAGAAAGTACCGATCAAGCATCAGAAGAGTCACCTGAAAAACTGGATGTTCGAGTCGAGGATGGCCACGAGGAGCGCAGAGAAGCCCCGCCGCTCGCCCCCCTGAATGACTGGGAATTCTTCTGGCGCCGGTCGGCGAGGATCTGCTTGAGGTCCAGCAGGATCTGGAGCTGCTTGTTGAGCGCATCTCCTCTCTCGAGAAACTCATCCTCTCTCGACTGGTAGAACCAGTTCACCTTGTTCAGCTCCTCGTTCAGTTGCTCGAAAAATACGTTAACCTAATTTAACGAGATATTACTCATTAGACAGCATGTAACTATTATAATAATTATTTGTTTCATAATTGTTGTTTAACAATTGACAGATTAATCTACTAAGTAAGTGATGTTATCCCTTTCAGAAGTTACCTCATCTTCTTCAGAAAACAACTGAACAAGCTCGTTCTCGTAGACTTCGTGCTCCGCTTCTTCTTCTTCTTCTTCCTCTCCGTCCTCCATGTCCCTCGTGCTCTTCTTCTGTAGAAAATTTAGGTTGAAGCTCTTCATCCTACTCACTTTTTTCATGTGTAAATAAATAAATTAATTAATTAATAAAAGGGTGTCTTTATTTGTAATTCTTTCGTCGGGGCAAGCCTCGCACTCTTTCTGTTACTCCCTCACAATTGAATCGTGAACATGTAGATCTTAGAAACGTTTCCTATGCACTTACGAGGGATATTCACGATTTTGAAGGAAGTGCAAAAAAAGTTACACTCACAAAACTCGTGGAAGGTATACAGAAAGGTACCAAAATTTTTTTTTTTTGTTTAATTCTATCATGGTTATGAGCGAAGAAAAATGGATTTTCCAAAAATAAGGTCACGATATTCTTGGAGTCTAATTGAGAAGAATCAGAATTTGGATTTGATAAAACTATAAAAGGAAATTTGCTTAGACAGCTTTAATCTTTTTATTTGCCGGCGCAGTCGCCAACCCGGTATCCTTAATCAAGAATTTTCTTTTATTAAACTAGATAAAATATGCGGATGCAAAAACCAAATTAACTTTATTGGGCAGCGAAAAGAGGAACCCATAACGGTTTTAGTAATAATTAGTCCTTAATTAATTCTAACATCACGTTGAATAGGACACTGGCTGTCGTCAACCTATTGAAAAAACAACTATAGCTAATACAAATGGGTGTGTGGGTGTGGGTGTATAGTATATAGTTTAAATTAAACATACTTAAGGGCCACCTTTTCAGTAGTGCTTCCTTCTCAGTCACTTTCGCTAATGGGGCGCTCCCCAGCTAATTTTTCCAGCGATCAGCACCATCTTAGTGGAATTGAATTTGGACTCACAAGGACAAAAGGCAAATGGAATTTTACGTGGTTCGCGACTCGCCAGGTGCAAGTAATTCTTTGGGTTTCTTCTTCATCCCCAGAAGAGAGAGAGAGAGAGAGAGAGAGAGAGGTCCGTGGGATCAAAGTTACGTAAAAAGGAGACCCTGAAAGACCAAAGTACCCGAAAAGAAGGCAAACAGCGGTGTCGATTTAGGATTTGTGGACACACCCCTGAACTTTTGCCCGAAAATGACCGAATAAGCTTCCCTTTTCTCTCTCCCGTATGACCGCGAGCACGCAACACAACCAGACACCGAAAAGAATGGAAGACAGACCGACAACTCAAGATCACCCATAAAACTCTTGTTCGAAATGCTAAACACAAGATTCGCCAATAACTCTAGGGATGTATATCAAGACCGACATGCTTACCGCTCGTTTTAGTATACCTAGCATTACTCGAAACTTGTCGCGCTTTATGTTTTCATGCAACCCTTTTTTGCTTGAACCTTAGCAGTTTCGATTTGGAAGAGAATATCATGGATGAGAAGAATTTCCGTGTCCAAAACATGCATGCTCGTCTACGTACCTGCATAATATCCGTGCTGCTAGCTGACTTCCGGAACTTGCCGGCAACTTTCTTGACCATGGAACGAATGGGGTCGAAAATGGACAGGCCGAAGTCACGGTCGACTTGCTGAGGTTGCTTTGGTTTTCTCGAGAGCTTGATCTTCTTGACGTGCTTCTTGAGTTGCCAGTAGTTGACGAAGGCGTCCTTCCATTCTGGGATGAGCTGAGCCTCGAGCTCCTTTGAGAACTTCACCATTTCAAGAAGCTCAGTAGAGAGAGACAAGTCCTGAGGAGAAAAAGAAGAAGAGGACGAGCTTAAAGGTGTGAGAGGGATGTGATCGGGAGGCTTATATACACACAAAGCAAAGAGTCGTGTAGAGAAAAAAGATGTGTGTGATAGAGAGAGAGAGGGGTTGCTTGTTGGTAATGGAACATTCTTTTGATTTTCTCATTCATTGTTTTTATTTTATTTCATCATGAATTAGTGGAAAATTTTGCTTATGGTAATGGGAGTAAACAGTGGAAAACACCACTAAAGTATATGGTATTCCTCTTTTGATGTATAAAATCTAATAGAATAGAATCATGAGTGTTGAATCCATCTAGAGTAGGGGTGTGCATCAGTCCCGGTTCAACCTGAAAATCGAACCGAAGTGGCCGGTTATGGGTGGTTTTCGGGGGACCGATTCGGATCCCAATTCCAAATTTTTGGAACAGGGATCAATTCGTCCAATTCCCGATTCCACGTAATGAATTGGACCGTCCGGATTGGACTGACGGATTGGTCAAGATTTCTTAATTTTTTATATATTTTATTCTGAAGTAAACCCTAATTAATAAATTAATTTTTTTCTTTTAACCCACTTGTAGGGAATAGAAGAAACCAAAAAAGTATCTCTGGTTCCGAGACCAACCCTACAACCGGACTGGATCAGTCGGTCCGATCTGATTTTGTTCTAGCACCGGGTGGACCGATTCCCGGTTCCAAGAATGGGGAACCGATCCTACCCAGTCTAGTTCCTGATTTTAGTGTGTAAACTAACCCACCCTGACATTGATCGCCTCTAATATAGAGTCCCATGAGTCATTTATGAAAATCATCTAGATAGCTTATGCTGATAACTGAATCAACCGGTGCTCATGCACATCCTCTCAGTTCGGGCCTTTTGCCTATAGAAAAAAGTGTTGTAAATTAAGTCGAATCGCAATCGATCACAACGGAATTCTAACTGTTAGAATTCCGCAAGATGCCATTGTATATTCTCTTTGCAGAAAAACATAAATAGCACAGTAAAATAAGAACGATACACCAGAAGTTTTTACGTGGAAAACCCAATATGGAAAAAACCACGGGACTCTTATTCAGGAATTGCTCCACTATAATCAAAGGATTACAATTAACACTCTAATGGTGTTCTCTTACAATAAATCCTCCCAACTATCACAAAACACATCCTCACTTGATGAACTCTCAAGATCTTTTGTGTTTACACACATTGTTGAAGACTTTTGTGATTTCTCTAGAGTATTTTCTGGTGTACACAGAAACCTCTACCCATGCCCTTTTATTTATAGTAGTAGATCTCCATCCAAGTTAAGAATCTTCCCTAATTGATTGAGCAATCACCAGAATTGATTACATCTTGGTATTCTTCCTAAATAAGACTCTTTATTTAATATTTCTTCTTTTTCAGCGTCCTACCATAATAATACTCCTTCCTATTAGGTATTTTTTTATGAGCAGTCATCGGGAAAATTCAAATGGACTCCCAAACATGTTAGGCTGCTCCCAACAGAAAGAATATCAACCTGTTGGGCCAATCAATCCTTTTCCTTGATTCGTAATTTTGGTAAATTTTCATCATCGTAAGAATTAACTACTGACCACAGCTTCGTAAATATTTCTAAGGGTTAATACCATGAAAAACCCCAAACTGATACACCTGTGACAAATTTATCTCAAATTATTTTTTCGACCACAAAAAATCACATACTGGTACACCTGTGATAATTTTAGCTCAAACTATTTTTTTGACCACCAAAAACCCTACACTGGTACACCTGTGACAATTTTACCCCGAACTAATTTTTTTATCACCAAAAACCTCAAACTGATACATCTGTGACAAATTTACCCTCCGTTAGTTTCTGTTAAATTTTACTGTCAAATTGCTAAGTTTAATGACACATGGTAATTGACAGGTGTACCGGTTTGGGGTTTCACCCCTCTGTTTGTCACAAGTTTATCAATTTATGATTTTTCGTGATATTAATCCAATTTAACGGACACTAACGGAGGGTAAACTTGTCACAAATATACAAGTTTGGGGTTTTTAGTTGTCAAAAAATTAGTTCGAGGTAAAATTGTCACAGTTGTACCAGTTTGGGGTTTTTAGTGGTAAAAAAATTAGTTTGGGATAAAATTATCACAAATGTACCGGTTTGGGGTTTTTGGTGGTCAAAAAAATAGTTTGGGATAAATTTGTTACAGGTGTACTAGTTTGGGGTTTTTTGTGGTCAAAAAAATAGTTCGGGATAAAATTGTCATGGTGTACCAGTTTAGGGTTTTTCGTAGTATTAATCATATTTCTAAAGCTAAAAAGCGAGGTTGTACATGCATATCAAGCCACCATGTATATAAAAGTCTATTCATTTTTTTAAAGAAAAACATGCAATGATAATCTACTACTTTTTCGATCATAATGAAGAAAATATAATAGTATTATCAATAGTGTGCTAAGAGTCCTACGTGAACTGACCATTGGAAAGGAAACATTATCAGACCGAATGAGATTTCTCCCTTTTGTGCTTCTTTTCCAATGAAACAAGATTAAAAGCACGAATTGATAAGCATTAGAGCTGTTCGAAATTCTTATGACTATTATGACGCATGTGGGGGACATGTGCACGGCAAGTGGAGTATAAACAATGTCATCTTAGGAAAAAATGCTAACGAGAGAATGTCACATTAGTGGGGAGAGTTACCAAAAAAAAATCATAAACATATTATAATTGTGTTAATTCAGTCCTAAACCCTTTGCATTTATGCCAATTCAGTCCATCCGACCAATTTTAGCCGGAAATCACTAACATGGACACTAGCCATCCTTCATGGCGCGACTGACGCTAACATGGACATTTTAAAATAATATTTGATGTTTTTTGAATGTTTTATTTTTCTTTTATGTTCTTTATCTTTCTTTCTTTTTTCTTCCCTTCTTCCTTTAGCCAGTCGCCGGCGACTAGCCAGAGATGAGGGTTGGCGAGGTCCACCTTGCCGGCTGCTAGCGAGAGTGAGCCTCGCCTGCCCCAAATCGGATCGCTTGAGCTCTAGGGTCGACCGTGGCTGCTAGAGCTCCGAGTTGTTGGCCATGGGCACTTTAGCTTCTCACTAGCGACCGTGGCTATCAAATCTCCAAGCTCCAAGCCATGGTCAATTGTGTTTTGAGCTCACGAATATGGCTGCTCTCTCCCTCCTCATTCACAGTTTTCTAGCTCCTCTCATTCACGATCCTGTAGCTCCTCTCATTCGCAGCCAAAAATTGACCTAAACGACTGAGCCAAACCCCGACACCACGGCCATGGAAGTGCCCTGCCTCAACCAACCATATATCTATGGCTAGTGAGCGCGAGCTTCGCCCAGCGACAGGGCAAGGCCAAGCCTAGCAAGGGGTGGGTAAGGTTTGACCTCGCTTCGCCCTCGCCAATGGCTAGCGAGGTCGCCCTCGCCTCTGGGCAGCCACTGGACCTCGACGATCGGTTAGAGGAAGAAGGGAAGAAAAAAAAAGAGAGAAAGAAAAGAAAAAAGAAATAAAATATTATTAAAAAATGTCCGCGCCAGCGTTGACCTCACCACGTAAAACAACTAGCCTTAATGTTAGCGATTTATGGTCAAAACTGGCTAGATAGACTGAATCAGCACAAATATAAAAGGCTTAGGACTCAATTAGCAATAATAAAAGGTTTATGACTGAATTAGCACAATTGCAATAGGTTTATGACTTTTTTTGGGGTCATTTTCCCCATATTAGTGCACATTTAACCTTTCGTAATCAAGACGGTCGAGTCCCTAAAAAATAACTAAATGTAAAAATTACTTAATTTTTATGAGGACGAACTTGTGGATAACCACCCGCCTGGGTGGCGCTGCTGGAGCGCGCACTCTTCCTCTCGCAAAAGGTTGAGTGTTCGAATCCCGGGCGCCGCAGGGTGACTTAACCGGTGGCATGTGTGTGGTGGCTAGCACGTGTCGCCCCCAGGGTTTACTTCCCGGCTGTCGGCCGTGCAGGGGTTCCCTGGGTTACCAAAAAAAAAAAAAACTTGTGGATAATTATACGTTTATGAGTTTCGCCGCAACACTTACTAATATACATTAAAAATCATCTTTATACATAAGTGTGTCACATTTATCAACTTATTTTCTTTTCTTTTTTTCACTATGGCAAAGCTTGCCGACCACTGGGCGGGGCCGCGAACCCCTCGCCAGCCACGGGCGAGGTTGCCTTGCCCAAATTTTATGCTGACTGTCAAGGGGTTGAATGCCCTCACCCAGAGGACCACCACCGTAACTCACGTAATAATCACGTTGACGCATCAACCTTAAAAATAGTCATGCGAGAGATACCAAAATGAAATCTTCCATAACCACACTTACCTACCTAGCTCTCTCTCTCTCTCTCTCTCTCTCTCTCTCTCAATTGGTCCATGGCAGTGCCCGACCTCAAACAAGGGCGAACAACGGTCATCGACAAAGATCCTGAACGGTATCCGTTGATGAGGAAAATGAGAGAGAGATGTCGCCAGCGACGTCATCGGAAGCGGTTGCCGGAGTTATGGCTATAGCATTGGTGGCCACAGCTGCCGAAGGTGGTCTAGGCTCGAGGGTTTGGTTGGGGATCAGTATTTCGGAATTAGGGTTTCTTTCTGTGTGGTTGGTGTCACTAAACTTATATAAAAACTAGATCTTGAATCGAGAAATGTAACTCCTAATTAGCCAAATTTAGTGGGTTCATTTCAATGACAGCCGAAATCTCTCGTATCTTCACTAATTTAGACGAATGTGTAGTTGTCCTTCGCACGAATCATTTTGGCAGCATCTACATTTCAGGTATGGCTTGCCAAACAAACCAGACATACAACGGTTGACATTAACTTCTACCTAGCGAATCCCCCCGTTCCTTTTTTCTAAACTATTTTCCTAGCTTTTCAAATACCTCGTTTAGCTCCGATATGGTTCGATAGCCTTTTTTTCACACACACCGAGTAATTA